CCGATCGAGGTCATCTATGGGGCCAGTGTTCCCTCTAAGCTGAGTTAGTGTGAGCTAGCTCACAGTCTCTTAGCCTCTGGCTCACACATTTTTGTCTCAGCTCGGGAAGGAGGGCTCTGGAACAAACTAGTTTATGCAGCAGCCCAATTGCTCGCTCACAACTTTAATGCCAGTCACTCACAATGTAGAACCTTTGCTCACAAGACTCCACAGCTTAGAGGGAACAGTGTATGGGGCGAGCAAGGAGGGAGGCCAGTCCCTCCAGCCACTGTACCCCCCCCCCCCCGCCAACCCGTCTTTCAGGCCAAATCTGCATCTAGAATTTCCTCCGCCGTCTTACCAAACCCACACTTGAACAGAAAAAGATGTGGCTCAAAACCACATTCAAATACCCCAGGCCAAGCTATACTGACTGCAGAGTCACCCCTGAATGGCCCTAAAACGGCCATAAATCTATGCAGAAGGCTACAGTGAAACCAAGAGATCCAACAAGGTGAAAGCGGCCTGCAGTCTGGACACTGCCAAAAAGCCCGACTATCAATCAACGTGAAAGTGGCATGCAATGCAGGTGAGAATTTCTGTTCCAGCCTGGGTCTGGTAAGACAGCGGAGCAAATGCCAGATGCAGATTGGGCCTCACGTGCCCTTCTGGCGTGGGTCAGAGGATGACGCTTCGAGAAAGCCCAGGGCAAATAAGCAAGTCTTCCCGGGCTTGTGCAAAAGTAAATCCCACTACGACACACACAGGGATCCCGCTGGTTTCAAAGACTTGCCCGCCTCAAGGGAACAACCGACCTCCCGCTTGGTGTCGTGGTTAAGTGCGCGGACTCTAATCTGGGAGAACCGGGTTTGATTCCCCACTCCTCCACTTGCACCTGCCTGGATGACCTTGGGTCAGTCACAAGTTCTCTCAGAGCTGTTCCCTTGAGGGCAGTTCTTGAAAGAGCTCTCTCAGCCCCACCCACCTCCCAGGGTGTCTGTTGTGGGGAGGGGAAGGGAAAGGAGTTTGTAAGCCGCTCTGAGACACCTTTGGGTAGCGAAGGGCGGGGTATAAATCCAATCTTCTCTTCTTCTTCTCCCTTTTGCCCAGAGCCACAGAAGTCGCCGGCTGCCACACCCAGCCTCGCCCCGAGCCAGCACCCGAGTCACCTTCGTGAACTGCCCCCCCCCTAAATATTGCCATTGGACACAATTCTGCGAGGTGGGTTGCCAGCCTCCAGGTGTGGCCTGGGGATCTCCCACTTTTACAAGTGATCTCCAGCCTGACCCATAGCTAACGTGGGGCCCACGGGGCCTGGCCCCCTAGTCTTTCTTCTGGGTCCCTGATATGCCACCTGCATTGTGCTTTGATTTAATTAGCTGGCGCCCCCCCCAAAAAAAATTCCCTAGCTAAGGGGCTGTCTCCAGCTGACAGAGATCCGCTCCCCTGGAGAAAACGACTGCTTTGGAGGGTGGAGCCATGCAGAGGCCCCTCCCCTCCCGAAGCCCCGCCCTCTCCCGGCGCCGCCCCCAGAGTCTCCCGGTATCTCCCGACCCAGACCTGGCAACCCGATCTGCGAGCCAGTTCCCTATGGCTAACCCTCCCTCCCTCCTCTCAGCCCGAAGCGGGAACATTCTGTTCCGAGCATCCGCCGAGTAGATCTCGCCCTTTTCCAGAAGACGCTCGAGTCTGTCCAGCGCTGGGAAGCCGGAGGGCCTTCCCGCGTCAGAGAGAGGAAAACAAGAGCCCAGCAGACCCCCGCTCCGGCAAACGCAAGAAGCGGGGGGGGGGGGTGTTGTTCTCTTCCCCGGGACGAGCAGCCAGGCGACAAACCACTTGCCCTAGAGTAAAAAGGTAAAGCTTTCCCCTTGCTCGAAAGCCAGTCGAGTCCGACTCTAGGGTCGCGGGGCTCGTCTCCGTTTCCGAGCCGATGAGCCAGCGCTGTCCGAAGCCGTTTCCGTGGTCCTGTGGCCGGCAGGACTAAAACGCCGAGGCGCACGGAACGCTGTTCCCTTCCCAATTAAGTGGTACTGCCTAGAGTAGCCCCGACGACTCCAGAGGCACTCACACCGCCCTCGACAAGCTCCGTAGGCATTTGGGCAGGATTATTCCCCCCACCTACCCGCCCCGGATCGTCTTGGTTCGTTTCCCTCCCCCCGCACTTCGTTCCCTCTGGGCCGCCAGGCGCCTTGAATCCGGAGCAAGCCGTGCCAAGCGGCCAAGAGAGCGGCCGTCCAGGGGAGCCCGCCTCGTCGGACGCACTTCGACGCGCCTGCTGCCAAACACAGAAAGCGCGGTCGCCTCTTCCCTCCGAAGGCTTAGCGGCTTCTCCCGTATGGACCCCCCACCCCACCCGCACCCCGGTCCCCACGGGTCTGGGCGAGCAGATCGGAACCGGGCAGGTTTCCGCGCGACCGCAGCCGACACTCGAACCCACAACCAGCCGAGACTCGAACCCACAACCTTCGGCCGGAACGGATGGAGATCTAGTTCCCCCGCGCGCAATGCAAAACGCTCCGCCGGGCAGAGCGGGCGCCGGAGCGGCACGACGGGATCGGGGCCGGAGAACCGAGTCCGCAGGCCAGCCGCTGCTCGTGGGCTCGCCTGGGTCAGAAGGGAGGCGGCGGCGGGTCTCCACGCGTGGCGCTTCCAAGCAGCGTTCCCTCTAAGCTGAGTGAGTGTGAGCTGGCTCATAGTTTTTAAGCCGCCGGCTCACACATTTTTGTCTCCGCTCAGGAAGGAGGGCTCCAGAGCAAACTAATTGATGCAGCAGCCAAATGGCTCGCTCACAACTTGAATGCCAGCGGCTCACAAAGTAGAACTCTTGCTCACAAGACTCCACTGCTTAGAGGGAACATTGCTTCCAAGGTGTGCATCGCCCAAGCGCACCACGACTGATGTTCCCTCTAAGAGGTGGAGTCTCGTGAGTAGAAATTCAACTTGGTGAGCTGCTGGCATTAAGAGCGGTGAGCAGGTGATTTGGCTGCCGCTTCAATCGGTTTGCTCGGGACTCGCGGTGTTTCCTCTAAGCCGAGTGCGCGTGAGCTGGCTCACAGTTTCTGAGCCTCGGGCTCACACAGTATTCTTGTCCCGGCTCAGGAAGGATGGGGCTCCAGAGCCAACTCATTGATGCAGCCGCCAAACTGCTCGCTCACAACTTCAGTGCCAGCGGCTCACAAAGTAGAATTTAGAGGGAACATTGGCCCGGCCCCAGACATAATCGGCTATGCTCCTGCAGAGTGCAGGGGGTTGGACTAGATGACCTCCCAGATCCCTTCCAACTCTAACATTCTATGATTCTATAATCTGAACAGACAATACTGGGTCAAATAGGCCACCAGTCTGAGGCCACTATAAGGCGGCCTTATGCCTATGTGAAGAGCTCCTTCCTCAGCAAGATAACTGATATTTTTCAAGGACGACAGGTGGAGGCGTGTGAACAGTCACAATGATGAAAGCAGGTACCAATAAAAGATGGAGTCGAGGCCCGGTGGTACCTCTTAAACATCAACAAAATAGTCTTTTAAGGTGCTACAGGACTCCTGTTTTGCTGCCACAGTCTAACAGGGCTTCTCCTTGGAAATCATCACCATAGCCTATGGGAAGTACATGATTAGTTGAAGCACAGCTGTGATTCAGGGTTCCCTCTAAGTTGAGTGAGTGTGAGCGAGCTCACAGTTTTTTAGCCTCCGGCTCGCACATTGTATCAAATGTGTAATGTAAACCGCTCAGGGCCCTTAGGGGGTGCGCGGTATATAAAAGGAAGGAAGGAAGGAAGGAAGGAAGGAAGGAAGGAAGGAAGGAAGGAAGGAAGGAAGAAAGAAAGAAAGAAATTTTTGCCTTCGCTCAGGAAGGCTGGCTCCAGAGCAAACTCATTTATGCAGCGGCCAAATTGCTCGCGCACAACTTTAATGCCCAGTAAGCTCAGGAAGTAGGATTTTTGCGCACAAGACTCCACAGCTTAGAGGGAGCCCTGCTCCAGAGCCAACTGATTTACTCAGCAGCCGAATGGCTCGCTCTCCACTTCAGTGACAGCCGCTCCCCAAGGAGGATTTCTGCTCACGAGACTCCACAGCCGAGAGGGAGTTGCTCTGGAGCCCCAATCCTTCCCGAGCTCGGGTCGAAAACGTGCGAGCCGGAGGCTAAGGAACGCCGAGCCGGCTCACACCAACTCGGCTCAGAGGGAACACTGGACGCCCCACGCCACCTGCTTCCCATCACTGGGACGGTCACGGTTTGGAAGAGGGCAAAAAAAGAAGAAGAAGTCACGGATCGGACCCGAAAGGTGGACGACTTGAACCGGAGCGGCCTTTTACGAACCGTTCCACCTCTTCCTCCCACGGGGGGGACGGGGAGGAAAAAAAACCAAACTGGACGGGGCTCAAATGTTCCCTCTAAGCTGTGGAGTCTTGTGAGCAAAAATTCTACTTTGTGAGCTCCTGGCATGAAAGGGGTGAGCGAGCCATTTGGCTGCTGCATCAATTAGTTTGCTCTGGAGCAATGCTCCCTCTAAGCTGTGGAGTCTGGTGAGCAAAAATTCCACTTTGTGAGCTCCTGGCATTAAAGCTGTGAGTGAGCGCTTGGACTGCTGCATCAATGAGTGTGCTCTGGAGCCCTCCTTCCTGAGCTAAGACAAAAATGTGTGAGCCGGAGGCTGAAAAAACTGTGAGCTAGCTCACTCTAACTCAGCTTAGAGGGAACCCTGCTCTGGAGCCCTCCTTCCTGGGCTCAGATAAAAATGTGTGAGCCGGAGGCTGGGGAAACGATGAGCCGGCTCACACTCACTCAGCTTAGAGGGGACCCTGGGCTCAACCGCACCCCCACCAGTTGCGCCTTTGCAAGCCCGTACAACGAACCAACATCGCTGGGGGGGAGGGGGGGGGGGCGGCGGCCCCCCCCCCCGCCTCTTCAAACTCTCCCAGCCCAAAGCTCCTAACAAGTGTCTGCAAAAAAGAAGAAGAACCGGCGGGCGAAGCAAAAGAAACGAACGTCCCCCAAAAAAGAGAGAGAGGAAGAGATACCTGATGCGCCGCCGCGCTTCGACTCCGCTCCCCGCGCCTCCGCCTGCCTGGGATCGGCGCTCTGCAAAGCCCCGAACTCGCCCAGCGCGAGTCCACGAGAATCGCGAAGGTCTCTGCCGAACGCGGGCAATCTTGAGCCGACGGCGACGCCGTACCTCTTGGAACGTACGATTCCGCGCGCGGGGGGGGGAGGGATGGCGTGAGAGAGGGAAAGGGCGGCCGCGGTTGCGTCGTGTGTTCCCCCCCCCTCTCTCTGTCGTAAAGCGGGGCTCTCTAGAGCGGTGGCGTCGCCTGGAAACGGGCTGCAAAAGGGGTTGCGCCTCTCCCCCCCCCCATATTTTGTGCGATAGTCGCGCCTGAACCGGAGGGGGCGTGGCCGTGTGTCAATGGGGAGGGGGCAGGACCTGTTTTGAGCAGGGAGAGGAAGCGATTGTGGGGCTACGCAGGCTAAAGAATCCACTTTCAGTCTACATTCAGTGCACTTTCCAACTGGATTTTTACTGTGTGAACTGGCAGAATCCAGTTGGAAAGTGGATTGAAAGTGAATTGAAAGTGAATTATTTAGTGTGTGTGTGTAGGGGCGGATTAAGGCTCACGGGTGCCCTAAACACTGACCAATCTTGGTATCCCCCTCCTTTCCACACTGACCCCCAGTCCATTTTAGTGGTTGACCTGTCTGAGCAGATATACAATGCAGGTTGCAGCCAGTGTTCCCTCTAGGCTGAGTTGGTGTGAGCTAGCTCACAGTTTTTTAGCCTCCGGCTCACACATTTTTGTCCTAGCTCAGGAAGGATGGCTCCAGAACAAACTAACTTATGCAGGAGCCAAATTGCTCCCTCACAACTTTAATGCAAGTAGCTCACAAAGTAGAATTTTTGCTCACAAGACTCCACAGTTTAGAGGGAACATTGGTTGCAGCAATACAAAAATTTATTCATAGGATAACACAATATACTGTGCAAATGAAGCTTTTCACCCTTTCCCCAACTTTGTGGTGCCCTCTTTGGCCCCAGTGCCCTAAGCAGGTGCCTAGTCTGCTGAATGGTTAATCCGCCCCTGCCCTGAGTTAATGCGGCTTGGGACCAGTGTTCCCTCTAAGATGAGTGAGTGCAAGCCAGCTCATGATTTTTGAGCCTCCGGATCACAGATTTTAGCTCAGGAAAGAGGTGGCTCCCGAGCCAACTAATGTACAGCAGCAGCCAAATCGCTCGATCACAACTTTTAATGCAGTAGCTTACAAAGATAGGATTTTTGTTCACAGGACTCCACAGCTTAGAGGGGGCGCTGCTTGGGGCGCCCGCAGTCATAATAATAAGTGGCTAGCACCAGGGGCGGATTAAGGCTCACCGGTGCCCTCAGCACTGACCCATCTCGGTGCCCCCCCTCCTTTCCACACTGACCCCCAGTCCATTTTAGTGGATGACCCGTCTGACCAGATATACAATACAGGTTGCAGCCATACAAAAATGTATTCACAGGATAACACAATAGACTGCGCAAACGACGACATAAACGTCTACAAAAATAAATAAATAATCCCACAAGTTTACCCACTACCAGGACTTCCTTTCAAGCAAAATAGACAAAACATTTCAAATGATATAGGTAAGCACCTGCACTGTGCAGAATGTTGATCATTAAGTTTGTGTCCGTTTCCACTGGAAAGCTTGGAGTAATTAACATGGAAGTCCAAGTAATTTCTCTGTGCCAAGCACTGATCAGATATGCATGCACATAATTTTAAACAGTCTACAGCTCTAGGTATTCAAACTGTTCTATATCAGGGAGACATCCAAATAGAACTTTAGGCTGGTGTTCAGAATAAAAATATTTAAATCCCATGGAGCTGCAGAATTAAGGGCATGATCCAGCCAAAGGTAATCACTTGTACATTATACTGTAGAGTTCAATGACAGAATAAAGCATATACTTCTGAAAGTGTAAAGGCCTAGGGTGGGGAGGGGGAGGAAAAATTCAGGGGAAGAAAACGTGTTTTGTGGGGGTTTCTGAGGCTTTTTTCGGTTTTTCTGGTGAAAAAACAGGAAATTTGGAGAACTGAGAAAAATCTATGAAATATTTTCTTTTAGAATGGATTAAATTCTTTTACAGACAATATGGACATGCTGTAGACATACACATCTCTTAAATTCAAGATACATTTCTGCACATAGAAGCAGGGGTATTTTGGGGCAGGAACGCACAGGAACAGAGTTCCGGCTGGCTTCAGAGTTGGCCACGCCCACTACAGCCAAAACCTCTGCGGGCCTGGCTACAGGGAGAAGGCCTGGAGAGTGACTCCCCCGCAACTCCAGGGGGAGGCCCTGGAAGGATCGGGGAGGCATTTAAATACCTCCCCGTGCCTTCCTCGGCCTGTCCAAGGGTCGGCTTGTCCAAGATCTCCGCAGCCATAGGGTGGCCTGGGGGGGGGCTTGCCTGGGCAAGCCAAGGGAAGGCATGGGGTGTGGCCTAATATGATAATTAGCTATGTTGTTGGGGTGTGGTCTATTATGCTAATGAGTTTCTGCTGGGATTTTTCTACAAAAAAAAAAAGCCCTTCATAGAAGAATACCTAATCTTCATGAGGGAAGCATGACAGGATTTTCATTGCTTCTCAACTGTTGTATGCCTTCTGTCATCCTGTTGACCTTTTCAGCTCTCTCTCAAAGCATTATGGCACATGTACCCTCAGATTGTGTAACCAGTAGCTTTTTGCCCTACCTTGGTGGCAGGGGTGGGGACTGCAGTGTTCCCTCTAAGCTGAGTTAGCGTGAGCTAGCTCACAGTTTTTTAGCCTCTGGCTCACACATTTCAGGCTCAGCTCAGGAAGGGATGGCGCCGGAGCAAACTAATGTATGCAGCAGCCAAATCACCTGCTCACAACTTTAATGCCGGTATCTCACAAAGTAGAATTTTTACTCACAGGACTCCACAGCTTAGAGGGAGCCAGGCCCGTAGCCAGGATTTCTTAAATTGGGGGGGGGCTTGTAAAAAGTTGGGGGGCACTCAAAAAAATCAAAAACTCACGTGCCCTGGTGCGGTGCTGCTCGTTAGGGTGTGGGGTGCAGGCGACACAAAGACGACAGGAGACAAGCTTGCAGGAACTGTCAGGAACTGACTGAAACCTCTCGGCTTCAAGCTTGTATTTTATACACATTTCCCCCCCCTTCAAGCATTAGAGCATCCTTAAGGAATGTTTGTGTGTGTGTATGTGTTTCCACGCAGCTGTCTGTTATCTGCCTTTTTCAAGGTTACTAACTGCGTAGTGAGCAGTAAACAGATTCCATCTCAGCCTCTCATGACGTATAAGCATTTCAGCTCCCAACCTCCAGCCAGGAGATTTCCGCACTGCTTTCCTACACCCTGGCTGGCTGGCCCTTGCCCCAGCTGGTCTTCCCATTGATCACCACGGCGCCCTCCTGCTTTGCCATCCCCAGCGCCAGCCTGCTAAGCTCTCCCTTGCCCCTGGACCCCGCAGAGGAGAGGGGCGGTACCAAGGAAGTGGGGCTTGCTGGGGACTCGAGGCCGGCATCCTCTGTGGTTCCTTCTGCACGCAGAGGTTTTGGCTGTAGTGGGCGTGGCCAACTCTGAAGCCAGCCGGAACTCTGTTCCTGTGTGTTCCTGCCCAGAAATAGCCCTGGGTAAATGGCATGCCTGGTGTAGAGCACTGGAATTGTTTTATTAAGAGCGGGACAAATATTTATTCCACCTTTTGACAGCAGAGGAGCATTCAAGCCAGCTCAGTAGTCACATTTAATGTAAAATCAGCATAAAGTCATGGCAGTAATGATAAGATCAGTCCTAGCGACTCATTCAAAAATCAGAGTGGGATTAAAGTAGCACTTTCTTGAAATGCTTTCTAAAATAAAATTACTTTAGCTAGACTTTTTCAGCAAAAAAAAAAAGGTTATTAGGGAGGACTCTTTGGGTAGAGAGTTCCACAGTGAATGCCTGTGAAAAGGCCTTGCTTTTTGCTACTGCCTTTCAAGATTCAGTAAAGGTAAAGGTTCCCTTGCTCGAAAGCCAGTTGAGTCCGACTCTAGGGTTGCGGTGCTCATCTCCGTTTCAAAGCCGAAGAGCCAGCGCTGTCTGAAGACGTTTCCGTGGTCATGTGGCCGGCATGACTAAGCACCAAGGCGCACGGATTCATTAGACAGTGGGAAAAGAGGACCTCAGTTGTGGTTCTCAGCAATGCTCCCTCTAAGCTGTGGAGTCCTGTGAGCAAAAATTCTACTTTGTGAGCTACTGGCATTAAAGTTGTGAGCGAGCCATTTGGCTGCTGCATAAGTTAGTTTGCTCTGGAGCCATCCTTCCTGAGCTAAGACATAAATTGTGTAAGCTGGAGGCTAAAAAACTGTGTGCTAACTCACACCAACTCATCTTAGGGGGAACACTGGTTCCCAGTACATATGTGGAGGGAGGGACATTCCCTTGCATGTGCTGACATCATGCTCCTCAGTGAAAATCTACTAGAATTATGTCAAATTATGGTTAAACAAGGATTGCTTCCTTAGAGTTGAGTAAGTTATGGTTCCGCGAGAAAAACCGGTTGGTTCGTGTCTAAAAAGAGTTCTGTGTTGAAGACCTTCATCTTCAAAATGGCTTGATGCAGAAGACTGAATTGTGGTTAGACAAGTTCCATAATGCATTTGAAATAAGTATGAAAATCAGGTAAACTTGCAAAAGCATTTTTGATTTGCAGGGTTTTCATTTGTGCAACTTGGGTTTGTGCTCACCTACAGACAGGGGTACTTTCTTAGAAAAAGAGGGGCAGGAGCTCATTAGCACGACTCATTAGCATAACTTATTTGCATATGCCACACCCCCTGACATCACCGGAAGTGTGTCAGATGGCAACACCCACTGCTCAGGCTCCACTGGACTGTTTTGGATTGCTAACTATGGGGGGGGGGGACGTGCAGATCTGCCC